GGGGAGGTAGAAGGGTTAATAGGCGGTCCATCCCCCTCCGGTCGGTCCATTCTAGCCTTTTTTGCTGGCCGCCTACATGGCCACATTAGGTATTTACTTCTAAAAGAATGGAAAGGCAAAGATGGGGATGTCCAAGTCTATGACCAACTTCCCAATGGAGTATCATACTTATCAAAGTTAAAGAACAGCAAGTTCTGTCTCTGCCCAAGCGGGTACGAGGTGGCAAGCCCCCGAATCGTGGAGGCTATCTACGCAGAATGTGTTCCGGTATTGATTTCCGACAGCTACGTGCCACCTTTTAGTGATGTCTTGAATTGGAAGGCATTCGCCGTGGAAGTTCCGGTTAAGGACATACCTAATATTAAGAAGATCCTGACGAGCATACCTCAAAGGCAGTATCTAAAAATGCAAAGGAGAGTGAAGCAAGTGCAGAGACATTTTGTGGTGAATGGAACTCCAAAGAGATTTGATGTCTTCTACATGACTCTCCATTCAATTTGGCTTAGGAGATTAAATATCAAAATTCACGACTTTGATTCTCCTTGATTAAGAGGTCATAAGATCTTTTTATTTGTTTTTGGGTTACAATAAGAGCATCTGTCTCAGACTATTAACTTACCAAAAACTACCTGCGGAAGGTGGTTTTCAAAAAGATTTCGGTGGAATTTACCCAAAAAGAAAAAGAGACTTAGGTAGATAAAAACTTGCCTTTGTCAATTTATTTTTGTTTAAAATACCACTATAATTTTGAGTTGCAAGTAGAGCTGTAAATGAGTCAAACCAAGCGGAGTCAAGTATTAGAATGCTCCAGCTCAAGCTCGACTCCACAATAACAAGTTCGAGCTTTGTCAAAGTCAGAAAAGTGAAGCTTGAGCTTGGCTCATTTAGAGAAAAGTGAAGCTCGAGCTTGACTATTGTTCACCAAACAAGCCAATCTTTGATCAAGTAACTTGCAAGCTACTAGCTTATTTATAATTTAAAATAATAAAATAAAATAAAATAAAATAAAATAATTTATTAACTCTTTAATCTAAACGAGTTGTAGGAGCCTAATACATATAGGTGTTGGCTTAAATGACGGCAATCTAAGAAAGGGGTGAATTGAGTTTTTGAAAACTTATGCAAAATTTAAAATCAAAACAATAAGCAAGTAATGCACTCACAAACAAAAGAATTAAAGTGTGGAAATGAAAAGAATTAAGGGAAGAAAAAGTTTGAACACAAAGATTTATAGTGGTTCAATTATAGTTTGTACCTAGTTTACTCTTTAGGCCACTTACTTAAGAGTTTGCTTTGCATTTAAAGCCTCTCCTCAAACTTCTAGATGTAAAGGAAACCATTAGTAATAACTTTTTCACCTCTATCTCTTTCAACAACCCAAACCCTCGTTACAATCTCTTACAAACCATTGTTATTCCTCAAGGTAGTGTTCTAAATCTAACAAGAAATCCAGCACTTTCCCACTTTGGTAAAGAAAGAGAATCAAATACACATGGTCATTGAATTGATCAAATAAAAAGACTAAGATCAAGAATAAAGGTTGGAAGCGTTGACATCTTTATTGTCAAGGGAGCTTAAGTGTTGTTCATATTCTTCCAATCTACCCAAAAAGCCTTTTTAAATCCTCAAGCTCATATCTGAATGCCAAATAGTGGTTATACCCAAGAATGGAAAGTCTTCAATCACACTCAAATTTCATATCTAATTAAATGTTCTAGAACTTGTTAAAATGTTTTAGAACTTCGTGACTTCCCGAAAAACATGAAGAGGGTTAGAATGTGAAAACATTTAGGAACATTTTGAAAAGTTTTGAAACATATGTAATGGATTTTGTGGGTTTTGGAACTTATGAACACATGTTAGAACTTTTCTAATTTCCTTTGCAAGCCATTTCAATCGTACAATATTGGTAGGATTGTAGCAATTGCTACCTAGCTAGAGTTAGGTTAGGCTCTCTCTGTAGGGATTTCCCCTCCTCCTATTTGGTGCCTCCTCTTCATTCCCTTTATAATCATAGTAGCCTACCTCTCTTTCCTTCATGATCTACCCACCAACAACTTGCCATCCCTCCACTCTCCCTTTCAAGATGTAATAGCCAACCCCTCTCTCCTTTTCCATGCATAGATGTCAAACAACAATGGCAACAAAAACCAGTGGCAGTAGAAAGCAATGGGAACAAGCCTAATTGTAGGAAGCAAATGAGCACATCAGATCCTTTTTTAACATAATTCAATTGGCAAAAGATGAAAACTCCATCCTTTCCCTACAATTTGAATGGAATGACATTGTGATCTCTTCTAAATTTGTGTGCCTTATAGGTAGGATCCATACTCGAAAGATGATCAATTTGATAGGACTTCAAAACACAGTCACTGTGGCTTGGTGAACAAGATATGGGGTACAAGTAAAGGAAGTGGGAGAAAAAATCTTTCTTTTTTGTTTTGCTAGTAGCTATGATCAAGATAAAGTTCTTCAATAATCCACATGAAACTTTAATCAATCTTTGATTATATTAAAGAAGTTTGATGAGTAAAAGCTCCTAAGAATTATGTTTTTTTAATGTTTTTGTTTTGGGTTCATTTTTTTGAACTCCCTTTATGGTTTCAATGAGGAACAAGTGGGGATGAAAATAAGGAATCCTCTAAGCATAATATTGCAAGTTAATGACTTCTATAGCAAGCCCCTAAGAATCAATTTATGTTTAGAGGTTGAGAAACATTTAAAAAGGTTTTAGAATGTGAAAATATCAACTATTGATAACAGAAAATTGAAAATTAAATATGCACAATTGCTAGATTTTTGTTATGTACTTAGGCGTATAGGCCATTTAGATTCTGACTGTGAAACTGGGTTTAAAATCAAAAGAGGCACGTGAGAAAGTCTCAAAACCTTACGATCCATGGCTGTGAGTAGAAAATGCAAAGTAGGGGCTAGAGGTTGTTAAGAATGTAGTACTCTCCAATAGTGAGTTTGTGCCTTCATTAAAAGTTAATCATTCTAAAGTGGCTGAATCAACTACAAGTGCAATAAATTCCAAAGAAGAGGTACTTGTTCAAAGACAACCTTTTTCTAATAGATTGATAATAGTTGAGGAGTAGGATCATAGCCCAAAGAAGGGTATGGCAAATAATGTGGCTGCACTACCTGAAGACCAATCATCTCCCCATTCTCAGACTCTAATTCAGGAGAGCTCCCTCTGAGACAAATAGCTTAGATGGCAAAAGAAGGGGCATATGTTCAAGAAAGATGTGGAAGAGGATTGATTGAGGTTTGTTGTTGTCCATAGGGAAAAAGGTGGAGGTAAAAGGGAAAAGGAAATTAGCCCTAGAAGAGTTGGACCATAACAGAGCATTGAAAGTATTACTTAACAAATAAAGAACTACTCTTACTATTAACTTAAAGGATGCTTTCCATCCACCAACAAGTTAACAATACTAAAGGCGAATTGGTTGAGCATTGCAATGAGGGGAGACATTGCATTGCTGTGCCTTTTGCTTTCCTGTGTTAAGATTGGATGGTAAAATAAATGTGATTACTAGTAACGACAATAAAGCTTTAGAGTAATCTTTCTATGTTCATACATAGCTCTATTGATACCCCTATAACATATACTAGTATTTAGAGGTTCCTAGTTCCTAATTGTCCTATTTGTAAAGGACACTTAGCTATATATGTCAATGTCATAGGTCCTTCCTAGTTTATTTATATTTTTTCACAGCCTATATGGTGAGGTATAGTTTATTTTGTAATTGTTTCAATTACTAATATAACTATACTTTCTATCCCAAAAAAAAAAAAAAAAAAACTTTACAAGCCAGAGAGCATCAAAGAGAAAAAGTGTTCTAGATTTAGACATAAAATTCTAAAACCTTTTAAATTTGGGAAGTGTTATATGAACAA